CAAGTACTCCTGTTCTTTTTGCGGACACAGACTAACACGGCTGCTACTCTGAAACCTGTTTTCCAATGTGTATTTCTTTGCTTTTCTCAACCTTGAATTTCATCTGCCATTTTGTTGCTCAGTCACCCAGTTGTGAGATCCCTTTGTAACTCTTCACGGTCTGCTTTGGACATAACTACCTTGAGTAAAGTTGTATTTTCTGCAAATTTTGCCATCACACTGTTTACCTTTTTTCCAGATCATTTATGAATATGTTTAATAGGAATGGTCCCAGTACAGATCCCTGGGGGACACCATTATTTATCTCTCTCCATTTTGAAAACTTACCATTTAATTGTACCCTTTGTTTGCTGACTTTTAACCAGTTACTGATCCATGAGAGGACCTTACCTCTTATCCCAGGACTGCTTACTTTGCTTAAGAGCCTTTAGAGAGGGAACTGGTTAAAGATTTTCTGAAAGTCCAAGTACACTATATCCACTGGATCCCCTTTGTCCACATGCATGTTGACCACCTCAAAGAATTCTAATGGATTGGTGAAGCATGATTTCCCTTTTCAAAAGCCATTTTGACTCTTCTCTCCTATTTATTAGGATTTAGAGAATCCTCGTTAATAAATACTGCCCTATGGGATATCTGTCCAAACCATGTATTCCTCTGCATGTTTAGGCTTTCTTCCATCCCTTAGTTTAAAAACTCTTCTATGATCTTTTTAATTTTACATGCCAGCAATCTGGTTCTGTTTTGATTTAGGTGAGCTCATCCTTCCTGTTTAGGTTCCTTCCTCCCCTCCCCCCAAAGGTTTCCCACTTCTTAATAAACTGAACCCCCGCCCCAAATCATTGTCTCATCCACTCATTGAAACCGTGCAGTTCTGCCTGCTTTTCTGTCCATACATGTGGAACTGGAAGCACTTCAGAAAATGCTACCATGGAGGTCCTGGACTTTAATCTTACCTAACAACTTAAATTTGGCCTCCAAGACCTCTCTCCTACCTTTTCCTATGTCACTGGTACCTACATGTACCACCACCACCAGCTCCTCCCCAGGACTGGAAATAAGTCTGTCTAGATGTCTTGAGAGGTCTGCAACCTTTGCACCCTGTAGGCAATTCACAATGCAGTTCTCTCAGATAACATAAACCCAACTATGTGTGTTTCTATTACTATTACTATTACCCATGCCTTCCTAATAACAAGGATTCCCTTCTTCATAGAGGTATCCTCAGTGTCAGAGGATACCATGACATCATCTGGAAGGAGGGTCCCAACTATGAGATCATTTCCCTCTGCTCCAGTTTGGTGTTCTCCTTCCCTGAGACTTTCATCCTCCTCAATAGCACTGGCACTGAAAAACTGGGGGTGAGACTGCTCTTTGTCCCAGAAAGTCTCACCTATGTACCTCTGTCTCCTTAGCTCCTCCAGTTCAGCACTGTGGTCTCAGGAGCCTGTACTTGGTCTCCGAGGGCCATGAACTCCTTGCACCAAATGCACACATACACCACCTGCCCACAAGGCAGGTAATAATGCATGCTGCATTGAGTGCAATAAACTGGATAGTCCCCGCTGCTGCTGCTGCTGGACTTCTGCCAGAATTCTTTTGTACTCCTCTGCTTTTTTTGCTGGGGAGGGGAGCGCAGGGAGTGGTTATTGGCCTATGTTTAGAGAACGTTTAATAAGTGTACCTAGCTCTCATGTTCCCACTCTAAACTCCCCTGTTTGCTAGCTCCTCTGGTTGCTTAGGAAGTGGCTTTTTT